ACTGCGCCCGGGTCCTATGCTGGCTCTTTCTATGCTCTCTGATTTTCAACCTTCTCCTTGCTTTATTCCCACCTCCTTCCCTCTGCTCATTCCTCAGCTCACTGTGGTCTGGCTGACATTCCCCCTCCATGACACTGCCCTTCCTGACATCACCCAGTCAATGGCCACCAGTGGTCACATCTCTAGGTTTGCTCTAGGGCTCACTGGCCTTGGCTTCCCTCCAGCCCAGTGCCTGAAGAACTCTTCCTTTTCAACTTTTTTTTTTTTTTTTTTTTTTTTTTTTTTGGTACCAGGGATTGAACCTAGGGTTGCTTGACTACTGAGCAACCTTTTTTAAAATTTTTTGATTTTGAGATGGTCTCACTAAGTTGCTGAGGCTGGCCTCAAACTTGCAATCCTCCTACCTCAGCCTCCCCAGTCTCTGGGATTTCAGGTGTGCGCCACAGCGTTTGACTTTCTGCTTGGTTTTTATCCTCACCCTCTGCATCTCCTCCTGCATTTCCAAGGGTTGCTTCTCAGCTTTCTGGAGCCCCTCTTCCTCTGCTTCTCTGTAGACTGCAGGTGTCATCAGGGCTCAGCCCCGGTCCCCTCCTCACCCACACACTCCCAGGGTGTTCACTACCAAGGGCAGTCCTCACCCCTCGCCCGCAGCCACTTCTAGAAAGAGATGGCGCACGGCCTCTCTGCCTCCTCACAGTTCTTTTACTCCTCTGCCAGGTACTCAGCTCCCCACCAGAGTGGCCAGCACCCTTCACTGATTCCCCCAGGTGACATCTCAGCAGCACTGGGCACGTCCACGCCTCGTCCTTCCATGGAGGGCGCTCTTCCCCTCGGTCTCCGAGGTGCAATATGCTTCTCAGTGTCTGCTGCCCCCGTCTCAGCCTCTTGGGGGGACCTTCATTCTTCTGTCCTTCTCTTAAGTGTCGGGCTCCTCTTCCTGCTCTAGATGCCTTTGGTGACTGTTTTCACGTTAAGGACTCGGCGTCTCCATTTCCAGGCCCCTGTATGCAGCTGGCTCACTCCCCTGGGTGCCCCACAGCGGCCACACCTGGCCACACCTAGAGCCTAAGTTCTCACCATGTCACCCCCCCCAAAACACCTGCTCCTCTTCCTGGGGCCCCCGTCTCAGCAAAGGCCCAACAGCTGTCCCCTGACATGGGCCCCCCATCTCCAGGTCACCTTGACCTGTGCTGTGCCCTGTCCCTGGTCTTCCCACACAACCCGTCCCCTGGTCCTCGATCCTTTCTTCCCTCTTGGCTCAGCCCCAGCTCTTCTCCCTGAGTCCTCACCTGGCTTCTCCCCCTCGCCCTTGGCCGTCCTTCAACCCATCCTGCCTGCTGAAGAGGGGTCTTTCTGACACGAAGCCCCAGCCTGCCCCCGGTTCCAGCGCCCTGCTGATTCCTCCTGGCCTCTAGGACAGCTCGGGCTGGAGGCCCTTCCTCTCTGGCCCCTGCTTCGCCCCTCGGCCTCCTGTCTGAAGTCTCCTGCTTCCCTGTGCTGAGGAGGCCTCGCTCTCCCTGCCCTGCCCCTGATGGCGCTGAAGGAGGGTTGGGGTGGAGCTGGGGGAGAGCGCTCGCCAGCGCATCACGGGGAAAAATGCACGCAAGGCATTGCTGCCGGTCGAATGAGTGGCGGGCAGTGGGACTCTGAGGAGAATCTGTCCTCAACGGAGGAGGCAGGAAGGGATCAACGAGTCTGGTAAGGTCCCTCCAGAGGACAGCCAGGCGGACCACTAGTGGTCACATCTCTAGGCAGAAGCCCAGAGGGAACATTCATTTCAACAAGGTTTTAAGTAAAAACAATGAGTAAGGGGGGTTTTAACATCTTGGAAGGGGAAGCGGTACCTCAAATCTTCAAGGACATAAATTTGTAATATAGCTGAAAAAAGGCCCAGAGTAGAAAAATAATCCCAAACAATTCTAAACCAACAAGAAGGATAGTAAATTTAAAATTTATTCATGAAATAGTAACATCGGCTTGCCAGATGTGGTGGCGCATTACCTCTCATGCCAGTGACACGGGAGGCTGAGACAGGAGGATCACAAGTTCAAGGCCAGCTTCAGCAACTTAACAGGACCCTGTCTCAAAAAATAGAAAGGTCTTAGGATGCAGCTCAGTGGTAGAGCACCCCTGGGATCCATCCCCAGTGCCCCCCCACCACACACAAACAATAATAATAATAACATTGACTCTATACAAATAAATTGCATATTTAAAAAATAATCACTCCAGCCACACTTGCAGTTCCTCTGCTCCCTCCTGTTGCCCCACACCTTTCTCTTATATGCGTGGTTCCCTCTGCCTGGAACTCATTCTGGCTGAGGAATCCGGGTGGAGAACTTGAACCTTTTCATTTCCTCATCTGTGACAATGAGGATGGGAGATAATAACAGCACTCACCTCGGGGGTGTTGACCGGGGTGAAATGACGTGGTGCTTGTCAAGCCCCTAGGAGCCGACCTTGTCACGGGGTCAGTGTCACACTTAGCGACACTCTGTGGTTAGGACTGAGACTGCTCAGTGATGCCCGCGGTGGTCTTCGTCTCCCCTCCCCCTCTGCCTGCCTTCCTGTGTCTTACTTGCTCTCCTGTGCTGGAATCAGGAGTCGTCCCTGCGGTCTGTACTCCTCCCAGGGTGGACACCCCCACCTCCCTTTCTCTGGGGTGGGAAGGGAGGCACAGGATCCAGTATTTGGCCTGGGCTCTCAGTCTGAGACTTAGGCCTGAGGTCCATCTGGGTCTGCAGCCTGAGCTCCGGGTCCATGCTGCCGAGCTCTCTCCTGCTATCTCTATTCTGATTTTTCCAGCTCTGGCTCCAGGTGTATCGACAGCTTCTTGCTGCTTGACTTCTCCTAAGTGCCTTATAACTACTCTCCTTCCTTCTCCACTCGATTCTCTTCCCTTGGGCCTCTTTTAGTGATCGACCCTACAGTTCACCTGCACCCTAGGCCAGAATCACCCAGGCTCCTGGCCGCTCCTCTCTGCTAAGCATGGCTGCTCTGTCTCCACTACCCACAGCTTTGTTTAAGGCTTTCTTACTTTCTCACCTAGAGGAATAGAGTCAGCTCCACCCAAATATTCCTTTGGTCTCTGGTCTCCACCCTGGTTCCCAGTTGAGTCTTCACAATACGTAGACTGGACCAGTTATGTCCAATGAAAATGGGATCTCACTCCTGAGTCATTTTCCCATGGCTCCCTGTTGTCCAAGCAGCTCTGAAGAGGTCCCAAGAAAGACTCTTCGGAATAAATGGTTTGTGTCCAAAATGTTGGGGAAACGCAGCTTCCTCTGTCCCTCTCTTAGAGGCTCTGCATGAGAGTGTCATAGAGTTTGCAAAAAGTCTCGCTGTAACAAATCCTGTTTGCATTTGTTTGACCCAGGGGATCCTGGTCTTACCTGTTACAGTAGCCTTTTCTCCAAGACTTCCTATTAACATTTAGGGGAATCTCCTTCCGAGGAATACTCTTTTGGAAAATGCCACGTCACAGGATCAAGTTCAAGTATGAGATATATAGATAGGATATCTTATCTTTCACTACCTCCCCTCATCTCCACCCCCAATTATCTGCAGTTCCCCTCTGTGGTATTTTACCTCTGTGGTCCTACTCCTTCTAGAACCTTATCTCCATTTTCCAGAAGGAAAGCTCTCTACACTTCTCTGTGAATTCTTCCCCTTTCTTGCTGAGTCCACTATTGCTTGGCTTTGTGGCTGTCAGCATTTGCCTGTCTGTGGGTGTCTGCTCCGCTGAAAGGCCAAGTCCCCTGCCTAGCTCACCTGCCTCCCTGTCCCCAGGGCTCACCCTGTGCGTGGTGCATGGAAGGGGCTTAGTGAGTGTTGGTTGGCCCAGGGAACAAGATCAAAGCTTGGAGACTCAGCGCTGCACCTGCAGGTCACTCTGCCTCTCAGGATGGTTCTAAGACAGGATTTTTCCATCTCGGCACCACTGACATTTTGAATCAAATAATTATTTGCTGCCAGGAGTAGTGGCACATGCCTGTAATCCCAGAGGCTCGGGAGACTGAGGCAGGGGGATCTCAAGTTCAAAGCCAGCTTCAGTAACAGTGAGGTGCTAAGCAACTCACTGAGACCCTGTCTCTAAATAAAATACAAAATAGGGCTGGGGATGTGGCTCAGTGATTGAGTGCCCCTGAGTTCCATCCCTGGTGTCCCCTCTCATATAATAATTATTTGCTGAAGAGGGCCACACCATGCCTTAGAAGGTGCTTACATCATCCCTGGTCTCTATCCACTTGATGCCAGGGCAACCCACCTCTGCAGTTGTGAGGGTCAAAGATGTCCGTAGACATTACCACCGGCCCCTGGGAAGCCAGATCGTCCCTGGTTGAGACCACTGTTGTAGACATAGGTTATTTTAGTCGTCTTTCTGTCTCTAGGTAGTGGTCCTTTTCTCTGATAGCTTGATCCATTTCCTGTCTTGTCCTTAAAACTCAGTCAGGGGGGGCTGGGGATGTGGCTCAAGCGGTAGCGCGCTCGCCTGGCATGCGTGCGGCCCGGGTTCGATCCTCAGCACCACATACAAACAAAGATGTTGTGTCCGCCGAAAACTAAAAAAAAAAAAATATTAAAAAATAATTTAAAAAAAAAAACTCAGGGGAGTAAAAACTGTCCTTCTGAACTTGAGGTTGGACTTTTCCTCTTTGTGGGGAGTCAGGGCAGGTTCCAGGAAGGGGGTTGCTTCAGCTGCTTCTCTGGTGGTGGGAGAGCGAGCCTGACGGGGTGAACTGGTGTCTGGAGCTCGGGGGGCACATCGGGTCCTGGGAGCCCTAACTCCAGGCGTCCACGCTCTTTCCCTGGCGAGAGGATTCTGGGGGTGTTCATAAAACAGCCTTTCAGAGGGCTGCCCGCCTGGCTGTTTCCTGAGCACATTCCTGCTGCAGAATGACACCCCCTACTCTCCCCCTGTCCTGGTGGGAGCCTGGAAGGACGGGGCTGGGGCTGTCTCCTTCAGCGTCCCCTCATGCCCGCCCGCCCTGCCCTTGCAGTCAGTGCCGAGGGGAGTCAGGCCTGTGCCAAAGGCTGTGAGCTCTGCTCCGAGGTCAACGGCTGCCTCAAGTGCTCACCCAAGCTCTTCATCCTGCTGGAGAGGAACGACATTCGCCAGGTGGGCGTCTGCTTGCCGTCCTGCCCGCCCGGATACTTTGACGCCCGCAACCCTGAGATGAACAAGTGCATCAGTGAGTGTCGGCGCTGGAGCGGGGGTGCCACCGGCTCTGGGCGCCCGGGAAGGGTGCTTTGAGCTGTTGGTGGTTGGTGAGAGGAGTGGAGGGGACGCTGGTGAGAGCAGACGAGGCTCTTGATTCAGGTGTCCGGCTGCCAGCCAGACATGGCCCCAGCTATCCCACCTGCACTCCCAACTCCTTGTCCAGACCCAGGCCCCATCCTCCCTGACGCTTGCACCTGCCTGTGCTCTCAGGTCAGTTCAGGGTCCCGGCACATGGCCCTAGCCACAGACCTGGCAGCCAGCCTCCCGCCTGTGCTGCCCCCATCCACCCAGTAACCAAATGCTGGCTGCTCCCTTCCTTCCTCATTGCCACGCTCTCCGCCTGGCTCCCAGGCTGGTCCGGGGTCTCTCCTCTGGACCCCTGCTCATCTGTGCTCCAGGCTGTATGGTCCCCCCAGCCTTCCCTCTGCACCACAGCCAGAAAGATGCTTCCAAGACACCCAGCCTATGGCTTCCCACTTCTGCTTGAAAACCACCGTTGGCACCACACTGGCCACCAAGAAATCTAAGTGTGGCTGCCCCACCCTTTCACTCTCTTCTCGCTCTGGTCTTCCAACCCTGCTTTTCCATACCAACCACGGCTCTCCCTGCTCCAAGGCCTGGGCTCCATTCCATCCCTGTAACTGCAGCTGCAACATGCTGGGGACACTCAGCACACCGGGTGAACAGTGGCCATGTCCCTCCCATCTCTTCACATTTTCCCACCTCATGTCAGTTGATCCTTTGACCTTTTTATGGAAGCAGGGCCATGGGGATGGTACCCTTTTTATAGCGGATAACTTAGAGACTTGGAGGGGAAATGTCTGGCCTGAGCTCCGCCAACTGGGTTCTGATCTCAGCCCTGCTGTTTATGCATTGCGTGACCTTGGGCGTATCTCAGCCTCCCTCATCTTTAAAATGGGAGTACTAGCTTCCCCCCCCCCTCTGCTCTTGATCCTCGGGAGAGGGGCTCCTGGCTGGGCTGGCTCCTGGGAAACTGGAAGCCTGGGCCTCGGGCTCCAGAGACTGGGAGGGGAGAGATTGTGAAAGGGCTGCCCGTTCCCAGCCAAGTCCTGCAGAGCCATCCTCCCTACCAAGGAGAGAGCTGGCAAGAGGGTGGCAGGGAGGGACCCAGGAGTCCAACCAAGGTGGTTCCTGGAACTTGGCCTTGCACAGGGAGAGGAATTTGCCCTGGGATTGCTCCCTGCTCCTCCGAACAGATTCCTTCTGCCCAGGGCAGGAGAACAAGGTTGGGATGCCGTGGATGCCCAGCGGTGGAGGAGGGAGCCCCGACAGCGGTCTCCAGGGGTCGTCCCACTCCTCAGTTCCACCCTGGGTAGGGGGCCCTCTGGGAAACACTCCTCCCACAACCCCCACCAGGCACAGAGGGTCCCCCAACTTCTTCTCTAAAACCAGCTCTTGTGGGCCTGACCTTGGGTTCCAGGGCTTGAGCCTGGGTTTGGCTTTGGGTTGGCTAATGGAGGGGAGAGTCCCAACCAGCCCTCAAGAATGATCACTTCAGACTCTTCCCCCCCATCTGCCCTCATCCCTGCTTCCGCTCCTCTCCCAAGCTTCCTCTGAGATCACAGTGGTAGGCCAAGGTTCTGGCCTCCATGTGGGTGAGTGTGGGTGGGTGGGCTTTGGGGCTGGGATGAGGGGAAGGGTCTGTTCCCGGCTGGGCCAGAGACCCCGACTCTGGTGCTGTCCACAGAATGCAAGATCGAGCACTGCGAGGCCTGCTTCAGCCACAACTTCTGCACCAGGTGTCAGGAGGGCTTGTACTTGCACAAGGGCCGCTGCTATCCGGCCTGTCCAGAGGGCTCCATCGCTGTCAACGGCACTACGGAGTGCAGCAGTCCTGGTAAGCGGCAGAGGGTGCCTCACAGCCTCCAGGACCCCAGGTGGAGTGAGTGGCAGGGCGGGGTCTGGTCAGGGATCATGTGTCCTGGGACCGCTGTGCAGAGAAAGCTTATCCTGCCACACTCACCTGCTGGGGCTTCCCCGAGGCCCTTCTGCCCTCTGGACTAAAGATGCTCTGGCCTGAGGCCCGGGCCAGGGACAGGTGGATGAGGTTGCCCTGTTCTGGTCCAGGGGAGGAGCCCCCCATATTTCCTTCTCCTCTTCTCTTCCTACCAGCACAATGTGAAATGAGCGAGTGGTCCCCTTGGGGGCCCTGCTCCAAAAAGAAGAAGCTCTGTGGTTTCCGGAAGGGCTCTGAGGAGCGGACGCGCAGGGTGCTTCATGCTCCTGGGGGGGACCACGCCGCCTGCGCTGACACCAAGGAGACCCGGAGGTGCACAGTGCAGAGGACGCCGTGTCCTGAGGGTGAGCAGCAACCCCTGCCTCCCCGGGGTCAGTCACCTCTGTGTCCTGCCTGGTGCCCACGGCAAGGCCAGATGGAGAATGCTCAACTCGAGGCCCTATGCCGTCCAGACTGGGGGCCCTGTCCTGGCCAACTTCTGTGGTCACTGTTCCTGCAGTTCCCCGTTTCTTCTGGGTGTTCATGTTAGAAGGGCCTTCAGGGGTCAGATAGCCAGAGGGCTAAGCCCCAGAGACTTACCGTGATTCAAACAAGGTCCCGTAGCCTGCATTTGGTCATGAGGTGGCTGCTGCTCCTTGCCTGGCCCCAGAGGTACCCAGTGAGGGGCAGGGGTGGGGACTGTCTTGCCTGTGCTGAGACTGCACCCAACACCTGGAGAAGCTAGACCCACTGGGATCCGGGGTCTGGGGAGGGCACCCAGCATGTACTGAGGGTGGGGGACCTGCTCTTAAGTCCTTATGCTGCGGGTTCTCTGAAGTGTCTGCTGCTCAGAGGAGTCGCTGGGCTTCCCGTCCCAGCCTTTTCGTCACTCCCCTCCTGGGACTCTTGAGCACATCCTCTGTTGATTTTTCCTGCCTTGGGTTTGTTGCAGGGCAGAAGAGGAGGAAGCAGGGCCAGGGCCGTCGAGAGAATACCAACAGGAACCTGGCCAGGAAGGAGGGCAAGGAGGGGGGCTCCGGCTCTCGGAGACGCAAGGGGCAGCAGCAGCAGCAGCAGCAGCCTGGGACAGTGGGGCCATTCACATCTGTGGGGCCCACATAGGCTCAGCGTCCAGATACCAGGCCTGCACAGAGGAGCCCAGAGCTGTTCTGCGTGATGAAAGCTTTCCAGAACGGGGTCATCGGAGGCAGTGCACACGTGTGCATGCGCACACACACACACACACACACACACACCCCTGAGGCCACCAGAAGACGCTTTCATCCTTTGGCCTGGCGGTACACACTCTGTTTAAGATGTGCCCCAGTGGACATGTCAGAACATTTCCCAGCATCCAAACCCCAACTTTGCAGAGTGGAACCTTCGGGAGGAGCTGCTGGGATCGCATCTGCCAGAAGTGGCGGACAGAGCCAAAGCTGGAGGACCGCAGGGCGACGCCTCCTCCCACCCGGATCAGCTGTGGGACCTTATGGTTGGAGACTTATTGTTACACAGCCATGATACCTATCAGGGCTGACCTGACTGCTTAAAGGTTTATTTCAAATTAAAAAACAAACAACAACAAAAAAAAACCCAGCAGTAATCACTGGCACCATGTTCCTCTTCAGGGTTTGAGGATCGGGAGGTCCACATGGGAGCAAGAAGGGTCAGGGTCAAAGTTCAGAGGCCCCTAATGGCCTCTGTGACAAAGGATCCAGAGCAGGAAAAGAAATCCAGGACTCTAGGAAGGGTGATCACCAGGCTCTCTCACAGCCTTCTTACTCAGAATGCAGTCCGTGGACTGGCAGTGACATAGTCACCTGGTGGCTTGTTAGGAATGAGAACTCAGATCCCATCCCACACCTGATGAGCCAGAGTCTGCATTTGAAGGGGGGGGGTCCAGGTCATCAGCAAGCACTTCCCAGTTCAAGAGGTACTGCTCTAAGAACCCTAAGGAGGAGCAAAGGGCTCCAGGCCAGCTCTAAAGGAGGACTTCCCACCTGGGAGGGCAGAGTCTGTGTCCTGAAGGGCTAAGGTGGCTTTCCCAGGGAAAAGGGGTGCACAGGCTCTCTGAGATGGCTGGGGACTAAACCAAAGGGAACAGTAAATCCTAGAGCCATCAAGAAGGAGGGAGAGGGGCTGGGGTTGTGGCTCAGTGGTATGTGTGAGGCTCTGGGTTTGATCCTCAGCACCATATAAAAAATAAATAAGGGCTGGGATGTGGCTCAAGCGGTAGCGTGCTTGCCTGGCATGCATGTGGCCCGGGTTCAATCCTCAGCACCACATACAAAGATGTTGTATCCACCGATAACTAAAAAATAAATATTTAAAAAATTCTAAAAAAATAAAAAATAAAAAATAAATAAATAAAAGAATTATGTCCATCTACAACTTAAAAAAAAAAACAACATACACAATCATGTTGATAAAAAAAAGAAGGAGGAGGAGGAGAGGTCAGGTTGAAAGGAAGGATGGGTGGACTGACTTCCTGTGGCATGCGGCACCCTCTGGGCTCTGGATGAGGTGCAGGGTTTGCAGCAGGGAGCCAGGCAGACGCAGCGCAGCTCTCCTGCACCTCAGAGATTTGGTTGCAGACAGGCCTGCATCCCCTCAGCAGAGAAGCAGATTCCTAATTGCAAATGGTGGGCGTGAAGGGCAGGCCAACACTGGCTGGACTTGGAGCTGTGGACGTGAATACCAGGAAATAAGCCCCTGAGGGAGGCCAGTCCGAGGAGGCAGTCCTTGGGCCCAGCTCTGAAGGATGGGAAAGAGTGGAGGGACAGCACGCGACACGGCTTGTCCCATAGCAATACATGAGCCATGTAGATAATTCACAAATTTCTAGAAGCCACAACTTATCTAACCAAATAGCTACGAACTAACCCAATATGTGCAAAATATCACCTTTTAAACATGTAATCAACAAAATCGTTAGAGAGATCTTTTACTTTTTAAAAACCAAATCAATATCCTGTGCGAATTTTTACACCTAGAGCCTAACTTAATTTGGATGTTGAATTTTCTTTCGTTTTTGAGGGGACACCAGGGATTGAACCCAGGGGCACTTAACCACGGAGCCGCATCCCCAGCCATTTTTATTTGTTATTTTGAGACAGGGTCTCTAGGTTGCTGGGGGCCTCCCTAAATGACTGAGGCTAGCTTTAAACTTGTGATCCTCCTGCCTCAGCCTCCCAAGTGGCTGGGATTATACAGGCACGACTACTGAATCAGGCTTGGATGCTAAATTTTCATCAGAGATATTTAATCTGTATTTAGACTGCATAAAAATTAAGGTTGAAACAGAAGATTTGCATACCCGAGTTGTTTTAGGAATACTTAAGTCTTCTGATTTGGATTTTTTTGAAAAAATTTTTTTAGATATCAATAATACCTTTCTTTTATTCATTTATTTGTATGCAGTGCTGAGAATCGAACCCAGTGCCTCATATATGCGAGGCAAGTGCTATATCACTGAGCCACAACTCCAGTCCCCTGAATGAGATATTTTTAAATGTAAATTTAATTAATTAAAAATTAAATAGTATTAAAAAAATTTAGCTCTTTAGTTGCACACTAGCCATATTTCAAGTGCTCAATGGCCACATGTGGTTACTGGCCACTGCAGTACAGTTCCCTATAAAAGATACATGTCCTGTATGTGTCCTGTGGCAGAAAGAAGCTTGGTGTTTCAAGAAACTCAAAGAAAGCCAGTATAGCTGGAAGGCCTGAGGGCAAGGGAGGCCAGATGATTCCAGAAAGGTCCTCTGGAGTTGGGCCTTTGTTCTCAGAGCCAGGGAGGTTGCTGAAGCATTGTCAGCAGTAAGTCAACATAACCAGATTTGCATTTTTTAAAGATCATGTTGTCTGTAGTGTGAAAGATTAAAGAGAGAGGCTTCCTGGGAGTTCTGCTGTCATCCAGGGGAGAGAGGTTGGGGGCTTGGTCTAGGGTGGTAGTGGTGGAAAAGGAGAGAAGATGACTTAAGTCAAAGATATTTGGAGAGTAAAACTGGCAGATTGTGGCAATACACTGGATATGGAAGGGGTGGGTGGGAGAGGAAGTGTCTATGGCCTGTGGCCCCTTTCACTGCTGGTTGGTGGGGCTTTGGAGCCCAGGCTGCCCCCAGCCAGCTCCAGCCTCTCTCTCTGGCTCTCACCTTGCCCCGCCCCCTGACCTTGGCTCTGTCTGTGCCAACCTTCCATCGCTACTTTTTGCTGTCTCTTTCGTCACCCCTCGCTGTTTCTGTGTCCTCTTCGGGGTCCTCTTTTTGTCACGGTAGCTTTTTCTGTTCCCACTGCCGTCTCTGGCTGCAGTCCGCGGATACCATTGTTTCTTTCTCTTTCTGCTGGTGTCAATCTTCAGGCCTTGTATATCTTGGCTGTCTCTGGTTCGGGTTTGTTCCAATCTGCCAGATCCTTAGGCAACTCCAAGTGTGGCCATGGACCCGCAATCTTGGCCTCATTTGAGAGCCTGTTAAAAATGTAGACTCCCAGGCCCCACCCAGATGTGAAGAATGTGCTGCCTTACCACCAGATCCCCCAGGTAACTCACGCACCTCTTCAACGGTGAGAAGCGCTGCTATAGCGCTCTTTTAAAGCAACAACCACATGAGAACCCAGAAGCTTAGTCACGCCCAGGAATGAGCTGGGGCCTCCTGATCACTTTGGTGATCTTCTGAGCCTCGGCTTCTTCAAGTCACCTTCTTGAACCCCCGTCCCCTGAAGCTCCAGGCAGCTCAGGGAGGGACAGTGTGGTTCCAGGAAGTCCTGAGCCCGCTGACCACATTCCACACCTCAGCTTCCACATCTGGAGAAGCAGTAGCCAGAGTGCGTTTTGCTATTGGTACCCAGGGGGCTTCCAGTTGTGAACCCAGCGCATCCTTCAATACCATGCCCCCCAGGACCTATTCTTGTGTGTCTCACTCTAAGGTTTTTGGAGCTGGAGGGGAGTGTGGGTTTCAAGGTGAGGAGTGAGTATCCTTCCACAGCCCCAGGAGGCATCCCACTTGAGGCAGAGACCCTAGGACTGGAAGCAACCAGAGCCCGTCCAGAAATCACACTTTGTGCTTTGGTTGGGGATGAGCAAGGGCTGGAGAGAGGGAGTCTGTGTTGAGATCTAGGTGAGCCTGACCCTGCTCCCAGGTTTAGGCAACAACAGCCCATGATTGTATCTGGTTATCTGACCACACTGTTACTTGGAAAATGTTGGCTTTATCCTCTCCAGGGTCACAGACTTGCCCAGACTAACACATTTCTGGCCACCTTACCCGGTTCCAGCTCTGGTATGTTTTAGACCAAGTCTCCGGGGGATGGATTTGTTTTCCATTTCATTATTTTGGGTGATGAGGTTGTGTTTTCTAGATATATATATATATTTTTTAAACTGGGGATTGTTTTCCTCCTCTGGTTTGTTTGGGTTGGTTTAGGAGGAATGAGAGGGAATTCAGGGAAAGGGTCAGCCTCTTGGGCCTTGTTATAAGCCCCTGACACAGGGCCAGGGCTCCAGGTACTGGCTTTTTGCCTCTGACCTTCCAGTTATAGTCCTTATGAGAGATAAATGGGCAACAAGTAGACACATTAGTGCGTGGTGCTGAGGAAGGAGAACAGGTTCCATCTTGAGGGACTCCAAGGATTCATGGAAGATGACAGCACTGTTACTACTGCCAGGCAAAGTGAGCCAGAACAAAAGCCCAGTTGTCGGGGAGTGGAGAGGACCTGAAGATCAGATGCCTCGGGGTTGCTGAGACGCGAGCATACCTGAGCAGGGTGCACCTGTCCCGGTGTGGCCTCCTGCTAGCTCCCCCAGGGGAAAAAGCCAACACAGCATAGGGGAAAAAAATAACAAGACTTGGCCGGAGGCTCAGCTGAAGCTCCTTCAGCACTGAGTTAGTGACCTGCCCTCAACAGACCCTCGGATGCCGGTGCTAGTGGGGGACTCTAGTGGGGGACTCTGGGAGAACTAGTAAATCAGAACCCCTTCTTTCTCTGGCACCCCTAAGCTACCAGGTTGGTGGCCACCACCAACAGAGAGTCCAGCCAATGGCTGGAGAAGGTGTCTTGGGTTATGCCCTAGAGCCTTCCAGAACTTAAGTAGGATATTGCGAAACAGGGCTACATTTTGAAAGAGAAAGTATGTAAAAAATGGTTCCTCCCTCGCCTGCTTGCTCTCCCGGGGCTTGGTGCAGGGAGGTGGGTGAGATGGATTCCTGGCTGGACTCAATCTGGTGTGCAAAAGAGGGCAGAGCCCAGCCCCCAAGAACTCCCCAGGCTGGCTCCTGGCAGCTGCCAGTCTTTGATTATTGATTATCGTCATTGGGATGCACTTTTTCCATCTGTTGAACATCAGCTGGATCCATGGAGAAGGCCGGTGCCTTGGCTGCTTTGCCTCCTGAAGGGGCTGGCTTCTGAGGGCTCCCTCTGCAACCCAATACGTACCACGGGCTGCTGATTGAGTACTTGGAATGTCTTCAGGTGGAGCCAGGCCTGTCCATAAAAATGGGAGACATTTTGGCAGTTCCAAGGCCTCTGGCACCCCGTCTTGGCCCTGGCCCGGCTGTCTTCTTCAAGGAGCTGGGGCGGGCCTCCCGCCAGCATGCTTCCCTGGGAGACATCGAAGTGAGTTAAAGTCAACAATGAGTTCATCTCCAAAAGGAATAAGCCGCAGCCTCCGGGCACGGGGACAGGGGGAGGGGGAACAGGGACTGGGGGCAGAGGAGGGGGTTAGGTGATGCTGGAGCAACCAGACCAGATCCAAGCCTGTCGAACGAGCTGGCAGCTCGAGAAACAACAGAAGTGCTTTCCCAGGCCAGCCCTGGAAGGCTCACTTGGCAAAAGGGGTGACAATGAGGGTGTCACAACCCCAGGGACCATGGGGAGCGTTCTTTCAGGGACTGGGGGCTGGAGCAAGATAGACGGGAAGAGACTGGGACAGACTGGGTGAGTGGATCCATGAGCTGGGACTCAGCTGGTCCCGTCCCAGCCTCGTGGGTGCACGGGGATGGCCATTTGGGCGGTTGGACGCCACTGTCTCATCCGGGAGGATTGCAAGAGGGTGGACTTAGCGTCAGGGCCAACAGAAGAGCAGGCTCACGAGGGTTGCAGAACCCGACGTTTTAATGGGAACATCTCTGTTATTAGGTTTATCTCTGAGGGCTTCACACATAGCTAAGGGTTCCCTACTGAGCCTGAGTCACGCTGCTCAAGGACACTTGTCCTGATGCACTGTGGCGCTTGGGAGCCATTGACACTGAGAGCCCAAAGTGAGTGGTTCCCACCTCTCTCTGAGCAGCAGAGTG